TAATGAAAACGAAACACAGGAAACTGTTAAACAAATGATGAAAAATATATAATTAAATAAATAAATATCTAAATAAATATATAGTAATGTCTGAAAATGAAAATGATGTTATTGTTGAACTATCAAAGAAGATAATGACAGTTAGTAAAAATGTTAAACTGTTGTACGAGATGATAAAAACTATTGACCAGAAACTTGATGCAAAGGCATACGAACCAAAAGATAACAATGAAGAGAAGGAAAAGATTGACAAAATCTTTGAAAAGAAAGGGATAGGCAGACCCAGCGGTGATTATGACACGAAGCGTAAAAAATATTGTGATATGTTAAATAAGGGACAAATCAAAAGTCCAAAAGAACAAACATTAGAATATTATAAACTAATTAAGGGCGATGATGGTAAATATGTAATTGTTGAAAATTAATATCTAAATAATTCTAATAAATGAATTTATTAGAATTATTTAGCGGAACAAAAAGCGTCGGAACCATAGCAAAGTCGCTTGGATTTAATGTAATCTCATTAGACTTGAAAAATGCTGATATTAATTGTGATATTTTGGAATGGGATTATAAACAATTTGATAGGAACCATTTTGATTTTATTTGGAGTAGTCCCCCATGCACTGAATACAGCATAGCAAAAACTAGGGGAATTAGGAATATCGAATATGCAAATAGTATTGTCTTAAAAACTATTGAGATTATCAAATATTTCAATCCTAAATATTTTGTAATCGAAAATCCACAAACTGGATTATTAAAACATCAGGAGTTTATGGATGAGTTTGAATTTTAAAGATGTTGATTATTGTAAATATGGAATGCCTTACAGAAAGCGCACTAGGCTCTGGAATAACATTACAACTTGGAAACCTAGAGAATTATGTAAAAAGGATTGTGGCAACATCAGGAATAATAAACATATTGAAACAGCGCAGAGACTGCCATCGGGCACCAAGGAAAATTGGGGAGACAATCCAACAATACATAAGCAGGAAGACCTATATAAAATACCTAGCGAATTAATTTGTGAAATCTTAGTGAGTTTGACGGATTAAGGATTTTGAGTTTGGGGTTGGGCTTGAAACTTGAAATTTCTAGGTTCATCCAACGACAACACATTAAAAAATAGGAATTCTAAAATTTGAAAATAATGAATTTTAAGGGGAATATCCATAGTTTATCAAATTTAGACAACACCAATATTCATATAGATATATCAGGAAACTCTCGCCAATTGCCAAACAGGGCAGGGAAAAATTGGCGAGAGTTTCCCCTTATATTATATATATATATATATACCCCGCCCCAGAAAAAAAAAAGCCCTCCCGACCAAGTCCTTACCTAGTAGGGCTCGGTCTCGTAGGCGAAGAAGACGCTGAAGATACCTGCGCGGGAAAAAACAAAACGGAGAGGGAGGGACCCACCAGCAAACCCAAAACCCAAGCCAGCCCGCCCTGCCCCCAGTCAAAATGGGGGCGCACCCAAGCTTGTCGTGCTCGCTCATCAACCTAGCACGGCGTCGGGTGTCCCACAAAAAGCTTAAAACTGCTTGGTCAAAAATGCTGATGGTGCTGGGACAAAACGCATTTTTCCATCATCTGGGTCTGTGCGAACCTATTGCCGAATGTGCCACTTTCACCATTGAAATCAGCCATGTCAGCGGTGAAATTAGGGATTTTGGTGGTGAAATTAGGGATTTTGGTGGCGAAATTAGGGATTTTGGTGGTGAAATTAGGGATTTTGGTGGTGAAATTAGGGATTTTGGTGGTGAGATTAGGGATTTTGGTGGTGAAATTAGGGATTTTGGTGGTGAAATTCGGGATTTTGGGGTGGACATCACCGATTTTGCCCCCATCCCATAACCTCCGCCCCGCCTCTGGAATGTGGTAGAAGATGAAGACGTGGCAAGTGAGCGGCGCCGACGGTTGAAACCCCACACCATAAAACCCAATAAAATCCTACAAGGGACACGCGAGCGTTAGCGAAGCTCGCAAGCTATGCGACCACGCCTAAAAAATGTATGATGAAGCTGATGAAACGAAGGAGGGAGTGATGTTGTTGCTGTTCTATTTTTTGTCCGAGAAATGGACAAATCGTTTTTAGACAGTTCGAATATTTTTTTGATGACAAATATTTTTTGCAATATATTTTGCAAAATTTATTTTTTTGAAATGGATGAGGTGAGGAGATTGAGGAAATGACATTTTGGAGGGTAGTTGGTGAAATGAATGAGGCGAGGAGAAAGGAGAAAAGGATGGCGAAAATTTTGGAAAAATGATGATAAAAAAACGGATGAGATGGACAGAAAGGAATGTAGAAAAATGATGAAAACAAATAAGGGTAGAAGATGGAAGATGAAAAAAAATGTAGGGTGGGGGGTATGTATGAAGCAATTTATTTGCGGGGCAAGGCCCTCCACTACTGTTTCCGCGCGCTTTTCGCGTTTCGTTTCCCACTGTAAACAAGGGTTTCAGGGCCATTTTTGACGACCTGCGCGCGGGTTTGGAGCAGTGGGCGTATGTTGCGTTCACGGGCACACTTTCATGACTGAGCGCACGCCTGCCACATGATAAGCACCCACATTGACGCACGCATTATCATCATTGCGTGCATGCACACATTATCATCATTGCACACATTATCATCATTGCGTGCGTGCCTGCCACATGATCAGCATCCACGTTCACGCACACATTATCATCATTGCACACATTATCATCGTTGCGTGCATGCGCGCATTATCATCATTGCACACATTATCATCATTGCGTACATGCCTGCCACATGATCAGCATCCACGTTCACGCGCACATTATCATCGTTGCGTGCATGCCTGCCACATGATCAGCATCCACGTTCACGCACACATTATCATCGTTGCGTGCATGTCTGCCACATGATCAGCATCCACGTTCACGCACGCATTATCATCATTGCGTGCATGCCTGCCACATGATCAGCGCCCACGTTCACGCACACATTATCATCGTTGCGTGCATGCCTGCCACATGCTCAGCATCCGCGTTCACGCACACATTATCATCATTGCGTGCATGCCTGCCACTTGATCAGCATCCACGTTCACGCACACATTATCATCATTGCACACATTATCATCGTTGCGTGCATGCGCGCATTATCATCATTGCACACATTATCATCATTGCGTACATGCCTGCCACATGATCAGCATCCACGTTCACGCGCACATTATCATCGTTGCGTGCATGCCTGCCACATGATCAGCATCCACGTTCACGCACACATTATCATCGTTGCGTGCATGTCTGCCACATGATCAGCATCCACGTTCACGCACGCATTATCATCATTGCGTGCATGCCTGCCACATGATCAGCGCCCACGTTCACGCACACATTATCATCGTTGCGTGCATGCCTGCCACATGCTCAGCATCCGCGTTCACGCACACATTATCATCATTGCGTGCATGCCTGCCACTTGATCAGCATCCACGTTCACGCACACATTATCATCATTGCCCCAAGGGCATATTTGAACATCGATGAAAACAAGCAGCGTCTGTGGGCGTAAAAACCCCAAGACGCATTGAACAGACAGAAAACTCTGGACCGAAAAACCGCGCGGTGAGAGCCCATCGAAGCGTTGTTGTTGGTTGTTTGTTGTTGGTTGTTTGTTGTCTATTTGTTGCTGTCTGTTGTTTGTTGTTTGTTTGTTGTTTGTTGTTTGTTTGTTGTTTGGTATGTGTTGTTTGTTGTTTGTTTGTTTGTTGTTTGTTTGTTGTTTGTTGTTTGTTGTTGGTTGTTTGTTGTTGGTTGTTGGTTGGTTGTTGGTTGTTGTCTGTTGTTTGTTTGTTGTTTGTTGTTTGTTGGTTGTTGTTTGTTTGTTGTTTGGTATTTGTTGTTTGTTGTTTGTTTGTTTGTTTGTTGTTTGGTTGTTGTTTGTTGTTTGTTGTTTGTTGTTTGTTGGTTGTTGGTTGTTGGTTGTTTGTTGTTTGTTGTTTGTTGTTTGTTTGTTTGGTGTTGTTGTTTGTTTGTTTGTTTTGTTTGTTGTTTGTTGTTTGTTGTTTGTTGTTTGTTGTTTTGTTGTTTGTTGTTTGTTGTTTGTTGTTTGTTGTTTGTTGTTTGTTGTTTGTTGTTTGTTGTTTGTTTTGTTGTTGTTGTTTGTTGTTGTTGTTGTTGTTGTTGTTGTTGTTGTTGTTGTTTGTTGGTTGTTGGTTGTTGGTTGTTGGTTGTTGGTTGTTGGTTGTTGGTTGTTGGTTGTTGGTTGTTGGTTGTTGGTTGTTGGTTGTTGGTTGTTGGTTGTTGGTTGTTGGTTGTTGGTTGTTGGTTGTTGGTTGTTGGTTGTTGGTTGTTGGTTGTTGGTTGTTGGTTGTTGGTTGTTGGTTGTTGGTTGTTGGTTGTTGGTTGTTGGTTGTTGGTTGTTGGTTGTTGGTTGTTGGTTGGTTTGTTGGTTGGTTGTTGGTTGTTGGTTGTTGGTTGTTGGTTGTTGGTTGTTGGTTGTTGGTTGTTGGTTGTTGGTTGTTGGTTGTTGGTTGTTGGTTGTTGGTTGTTGGTTGTTGGTTGTTGTTGTTGTTGTTGTTGTTGGCGGTGGTGGTGGTGGTGTTGGTGATAAGAATGATGGTGATCATGATGGTGACATCGATGGTGATAATTATCCTGGTTGTGCTCGTGGTACTGCTGCTGGCAATGGCGGTTGTTGGTGGTGGTGATGATGATGCTTATGATGCTTATGATGATGCTTATGATGACGCTTATGATGATGCTTATGATGATGATGATGATGATGATGATGACGATGATGATGGCGGTTCGTCATTGTCCCGGAATCGCTTTCATGAGGATTGTTGTTATGATAATCATGCGTAGGCAGCTGCCGACAGCATGGCCTTTAACTTGGATATGCTTGTGCTTCACGGCATGCTCTGTACTTCAGACATGGCTCTTTGTTTTCAACGATCGCTTCTTTCACACTGTTTCTTCAAAAGTATGTCACGCATTTCGGAGCAACTCCTCAAGATCTTCCTCTCCAAATGCCCTTTGCGTCTTTTGGGTTAGATCCATGTAAAGGATTTTGACCAGCTCGACACTCAGCACGTGATATCACGAAACCATGGCAACCGCCGTCAAGCTGGGCTTGCTGGGGCTTGGTGCGGCTGACAAACAGTGCCGGAATCTGCTGTTCGAGCAGCACTGGTTCAATGCTGACAGCTCGCGGTCCTTGCGGGAGTTTCCAGAAGTCACCAGCGACCTGCGGCTTTGTGTGGCCTTCAACGGGCAGAAGAACTGCTGCCAAACGGGCCTGGAACATGAGCAGGCGCTGCACTTTGCTTACTGGCGCCAAATTTTGCTGGGGAAGATCGTGCGGGTGAGGCAAGCCAAGATGGCCACCTTGGAGGTGAAGGATGATCCCGCCTTTCAGGATGGGACGTTTTGTGCGGCAATCCAACTTTAGCAAGGTGATTTGCCACATGGGTGTGTGTGTGTGTTTTCTTGAAGAGGGCGGGGTGAGGGAAACCAAAAGAACAGCCACCATTCTTGGGGCACAATTTGCAGGAGAGGGAAACCGACCGGGACCAGTTTTTCAGCGCGGTGCAGAAGTACAAGGAGGTGCTGGAGCCCAGCGTCCACGGACGCTGCTTCTCCGCTCTGTTGGTCTACGCGGCGGGGATGATCTGCTTCTCCTGCGACGCCCAGTGGCGCCAAAGTGTGCACCGTCCCGAGACAGGCTCTCAGACAAGTCAAAACCCTCTTGGTCGAGGCGAATGGGTTCCCTTTCCGATGGGACAGCATAGCTCAAAAACGAAGAACCGTGGGGGGGGGGGGGGCGGGTTCTGAAAAATCATGCACCGCCCCAGAGTGGTTTTCCTTGCGTACTAAAAGGGTCCATAGTTTTGAGCACTCAAGGGGACCCTTCTGGTTTTAAATGTCCAAGAAGCCTAGAGGAGATTCTAAACATAATTCCGCTGAATGGAAGCCAAAAGTCCTTTTCGCCTGGAGTCCGTTTGGAGGTGCCGTGCCCAGCTCGAGCGCCTCGGTGCTCCGCGTGCGGATCCCAGCTGGGGACTGTGTCGAGCTGTGGGCGGAGTGCAGCGCGCTGGGGCAGAAGTCCAGGGCTTTGCGGGAGGCGCAGGGGACTCAAAGCTTTGGGACATGGGCAAGCCTCGTACTTTTCGTGTTGAAAGCTTTGGGAGGGTACAAGTTTTTTGGGGTCTCCCTGTCTCCCTCCGGGATTTGAGGACTTCGACCTCAATGCTTTTTGCTTTTTGGTCGTGTTCCCATTTGTGCATGCACTTGTATCAGGCCATCCTGGACTCGCGCTTGGCCATGCGGTCCCGGCTGCCGGTGGAGTACCTGGAGATGTTCGAGGACCAGCAAGCGCTCTGCGACTGGGCCCACGACGTCATCGCCATGCACCCCTTCACCAGCCCCAACGAGGTGGAGAAGGAGGCCACCCCCCCGGTATCGATGCGACGTCTTCAGACAGAGACGACTTTGCACGAATCGCTTGAACGCGATAACCTCAGCTTCATCCGCGAGTACGACGTCATGAACCAGGGCAGAGCCTCTCGCTTCGACACCTCTTGGAAAGGCTCTCACTCTGCTCACAGTGGCTCTCGCGGCCTGTCCGTGGCCATGGCCATTTGCGCCATTTGCTGGGCCATTTGGCAAGCTCCAGTCGCCGGAGAAAAAGAGTCCCGCGGGCATGGCATGGCTACTGGGACCGATACCTGTCTGAGGTTGCTGGGAATCGGGGCGTGACGGGCCCTTGCCTCGGACTGTGAACTGTTGGACTCTACGACTCAACGCATTGCGTTTGGTCTGTGCCTCGCCCGAGGAATGTCCATGCTTCGAAACGAAGTTCAGGCCTTTCCTTTGAATGCGCGACAAACGCTCTCGGACATTTGGCCATTCGCGGAGTCTGTCTCTTTCACGCCTGAACCCATGCGCAAAGCTGCGGCGGCTCCTGTTGCATGCGGATTTCTTCCAAAGCCATTTTTTGAAGCAAGTTGAAACTGAGAATTGTTGGCCATTGATGGACCCAGGTTTATTCTTTCCATCTCTTTCCCTTCTTGCACTTTTTGCCTGGTCCCCTCGTTTCGACGAAACCGAGTTTGAGAGAGATTGGGGCCTCCTGACCCCTGTGGAGGCTATGCCCTTCAGCGCCGCCGGGCAGCTGATGTCGAACGGGATGTGCTGCGCTGAGATGTGCCAGGCGAAATGGCAGCCAGCAGAGAAGCCAGATTTCTTTTTGTGTTCTTCCACAGAGAAGTATGGAGCTGTCTTTGTGCGGTCACCTTGCTTTTGGGTGGCTTCAAGAGGACACCAAAGAGAAACCCGCCCTTTTTGGGGTCCCCTATTTTCACATGTAATAGAGGCACGTAGAGGGCGGGATTTATCAGTAGAGGAAGCTTTCGCTGGAATGGGGGATGATATGGATTGCCAGTGACTTAGGGTGCAAACCACACTAGTCCTCCATGTGGTTGTATAAGCTTTGCTGCCCCCTGTTTGGGGATTTGTTTTGTGCCGCCTTTGAACACTTGCAAAGATTCACTCAGAAAGAAGAGGTCGCCCTTGTCCAAACTTTGCATCGCCCGCAACTTTGAAGGCCAGAGAACTGGCGATTTTGAGCTCGGGAAGGTCAGAAAGTCACAGCGAGGCGTTTCCAACGGACACTTCCTGAGGCAAGAGGTCTAAAGCCCCAAGAGCCCAAGAGCTGCTCCAGTCAGTACTTAGGTGGAGGGACAACCGCGTGATGCCCCAGGACATGCACGCAGGACCGGGCAAACTGCTCCAGTCACACGCTGTCCACATTCGGCGAATCCCTTCCTTGCTGAATATGTTTGGCGCCTGTGAGCCCCGGCTCTTGCGTTCAGGAGCGCAGAATTCCATGATGATGGTGCGCCAAGCTTGAGCGGATGTCTCCACACAGCTACGCCTGGCTCACAGGTACCTTGCGTCCTTGTGCCCGTCCCGATCCAGCAGTCAGTCCCACTGATGCAAAAGGGACCCCATGTGCGTTGAGTCTGCGAATTCGAGTGCTCGAAACGGGTCAGTGGGAACGAAAAGCCATGAGAAACATGCAAACGAGCCAGGACCATACATGGATGCCGCCGCTTGCAAAGATTTGCGGCAGGCAGGTAATTCTTTCTGGCCATGAGACCTGGGATGTTGGATATGGCTTCGGAGCTTCGCCTCATGGAAAGCTGTCTGCCAGATGCCGCACATGTCAAATGAGATGGAAGCCGGAGCCTGAATCAAGAAGGCCGCAACCGCATTCAGCAATATTTTTTAACCGAGGGCACCCCACCATGCTTGCCATACACATTATATCTATATATATATATACATCTATATATGTATTTATAGCACGTGTTCCATTTTTTGTGCAACGTAAAAACGGGTGCCCCATCCGGGACCCCATTTCGGGCATGCGAAGACTTGACATGTGTGTGTGTGTGTGTTGTGATGCAATGCGCGTGCAAAGCAATGCAGCGCAGTGGAACGTAGCACGATGCAATAACATGTCAACCAGAGTAGAGTCGTGACGCAAAAACCAAAACGGGCAGGAGGGCAGGCAGGAGGGCAGGCAGGAGGGCAGGCAGGCGGGCTGGCAGGTGGGCTGGCAGGTGGGCGGGCAGGCATGCAGATTGGCAGACAAGCAGACAGGCAGGCAGGCAGCAGGCAAGCAGACAGAGACAGGAAGAGACCGACAGGCATGCTTGCATACATACATGCACACATGCGCATATGCCTACATGCAATCAGGCATTTAGGCAATCAACCGATCAAGCAACAAAGCAAGCAAGCAAACAAGCAAACAAGAAAGGGAGGCAGGGAAACAAAGAAGCAACCTGAGGCAAAAACAGAGACAGAATGAGGCAGAGAGACAAACACGCAGACAGGCAGACAGGAAGCCAGGCAGACAGGCAGACGGGCAGACGGGCAGACGGGCAGACGGGCAGACAGGCAGAGAGGCATCAAATTCCTGTTCGGGATGCAGGATGGGCGGATCTCATTTTGTCCAGGTTCTGCAAATTGTCCGCGCTCAGTGGACTGTTCATTGTTGTACGCTACTTTCTGCGTTGATTGCCTCATTGAAGGGTTGCAAAGCTATGTCGGGGAACGGCAGGGGTAAACACAGATGTGCCTCCAAGCACGTCCCAGGCCAAGCTTCTTGAAAGCGCCATGCCGGAGGTGTATGAGGACTAGGCTTCCCAGAGAACAAGCCAGAACCTGAGTGCGTGTCACAAGGAGTGGCTTCGGACCGTGTTTGGCCTGAGGCGAGGACGGAGCCATGCTCTCAATCGCCGTGCTGAAGCCAGCACGCTAACTTTATCCCCGCCATGCGAAGACACTACATGGCAAGGACAGAATTTTATCATTTCTGGCGCAAGCGCCCGGAGTCTCAAGACACAGCGACTGTCACTGCACAGAACGGAGAAGCACTGGAGCGAAAGCTTTGTTCAAGGGCTTAACCATTAGCCAACATATTTTGATAGAAGCACCATTTGCCAGTGCTTCAGTGTTCCAGATTTTCCGAAGAACAATCGCCGGGAGGTGGATGGTCCGTATTCCCCGCGCGACTTAGTGCGCTTGGAGGTCACTGGCGGATATTTTTCTCTTCGTATCCTTGCCAGTGTCCTTCTTACTTTCTTGGGGTCAGTGCAAGGCAGTATGAAAGATGTGAAACAAGTTGGCTTGCCTTCTGATTCTTGCATGCTGCACTGACCTTTGACAGCCTGCGATTGCAGCACTCAGTCGATTTGCGACTTACAAGCTAAACCATTCCGGTATGACTTGTTTTCGGTGAGAGGATGAAACATTGGAATCTTAATCTGATGACAGTCTCGTGTGGTGCTGCAAGCCGGAGGTCATTTAGAGCGCCGAAGGCGACTGGCTCTTGCCCACCGCCGAAAGCAATTCGTTGGTGGACGGCCCAGTGGACGGCCATACTGCTAGTCAGTGGACTGGCAGATGACAACTCGCGTTGACCGGTTGAGCGCCGCGCCCGACATTCGGATGCTGCGCTGCGACACGTTTTAACAGCCAGCCTGGCATCGAGCGCGATGGGTGAAGACTGCACCCAGGAATGGCTGCTCTTGCCGCTCACAGACTTGCCAAATGCTGGCCAGTCCAGCGGACGCGTGGCTGTTTCACCCAAATTCTTTGATCCCGGTCCATACCAAGGTGCATTCAGAAACAAACCAGCCGAGCTTTCGCCGCGATCGTGCTCTCAGTTTTCGCAAATCATGCTTGCAAGAGTGCGTGTTGTCTAGTTGGCGCTTGGCAACTCCGCCAACTCCTGCACTGGCCAGGACACTCGATCTGAACGACAATTGACGCGAAAAAGCGTGGAGTCATGCGCAGTGCGTCTGTCTTTTTCAGGGGACCCTTCAAGTTTTGCGGGAAAAGGAAAATCATGGAGTCCTAGTCTGAGACTCGCCGCGAGCTCGCCCCGCAGGTGCAGAAAAGCTTTTCCCGGGCTCCGATGGGGGGCTTTGGCAAATCCCTCAGGGATGTTGCCACCGGGGTGGAGGCCTGTGATGCTTTGTCATGGGGGAAAGGGGTTTCCCTGGTTCCCCTTATTCCAACCTCTAAACGTGTACCCTCAAATAAAGACACGTCCAGATTGATGAAGCAGAGTCAGGGAGGGGAGCCTTGCACTGCCCTGCAAATTTCAATGTGTTTTCTTTGCCTTGCGAACTTTGGGAGGCACGTCTCACGCAGCTGAAGCAAGAGATCCAGGAGGAAGCTTGCAGGCCGATTCGATCCCGACGCCGGCTGGATACTTTTTTTCCTCGCCCCATTTAGGGAACAGGAGTTTCAGGTCTACAATTAATTTGAGGGACCGCTGGTGGCTTCGAACGCAGGGCTGTGATTTCCCATGGTTTCCTTTTGCAACGCCAACGGGTGCCAGATCAGCAAAGGACTCATGATGACTCATGTCAATTGGAGGGAGTCAGCGCTGTTTCTTTCCAGCAGAAGCTTGTGCTTTAAGGCTCGGCTTCATGCATCGCTTCTTGCTTACCGTTCAGCAGGATGTTTGATGCTGGACATAAAACTAATTTGGCGGAGCGAAACTGGACATAAGCAGAGCCCATTCTCTGAGAGTCGCAGCTAAATCTCGATTTGTTTGATGTCTGACGGTGTAAGTGGAGAATGACAACGTAATTGTACATATATGTATATATAGTAATATAGATAATGCTGCAGCAAGATAACATACCCGGCATTGTAGAGCCAAAATAATAGACATGCAACAGGTGGGGCGACGCTGAGGTGCTCCCAAAACGTATACAAACAAGTTCCCAGGCAGGTTTCCAGCCCAAATGATCCCCAAACGGACGACAAGGGCCCAACGTGAGTTTTGAATCCTGTACACAATCAGACAAGACTTCAGCAGCAACATCCCCAGCATCATCAGCACATCCCCGCACCACCAACAGGATCTATCGTGAGTGACATTTGAACTATATGGCAATGAAGCACATAACAAGCCAGCATCTACTTCTACACCCAACAAGCCCAAGTCCGACGTCTGGCGGACTCAACGCAATGCCCCCCTCCCCTTCCAGAGGGTCAGTTATGCCAGACCAAGATTCGATGCATGTGAGACAGAATCTCGGCATGTGCCAACAATACCATATATATGTAGAATAGAACTCAGCTTGACTGAAGCAAGGCACATTCTACTATCAGTAGCAGACATATGTTAGGCATTCCTCAAACACATGCAACACAAACCCACACACACAGAG